ACTCAAGTGAGAACACATGCTGGAGAGGATGTAGAGAAAGGAGAACCCTCCTCCGTTGCTGGTGGGAATGTAAACTTGTACAACCACTCTGGAAATCAATCTGGCGCTTTCTCAGACAATTAGGAATAGTGCTTCCTCAAGATCCAGCTATACCACTCCTAAGTATATATCTAAAACATGCTCACTATACAACAAGAACATTTGCTCAACCATGTTTGTAACAGCTTTATTTGTTATAGCAAGAATCTTGAAACAACCAAGATGTCCCTCAGGTGAGGAATGGATACAGAAATTATGGTGCAATTTACAATTGTGTAAATGACAATGGAATACTACTCAGCAATTAAAAACAAGGAAATCATGAAAATCGCAGGTAAATGGTGGGAACTAGAAAAGATCATCCTGAGTGAGGCATCCCAGAAGCAGAAAGACTCACATGCTACATACTTACTTATAAGTGGATATTAGACATATTATATAGGATAAACATACTAAAATCTGTACACCTAAAGAAGATAATCAAGGAGGAGGACCCTAGGTAAGATGATCAGTCCTCATGGAGAAAGGCAAATGAGATAGACATTATAAGAGAGAGAAAACAGGCAACAGGACAGGAGCCTACTACATAGGGTTGTTGAAAGACTTTACCCAGCAAGGTGTGGAAGGAGATGCTGAGACTCATAGTCAAATTTTGGGCAGAGTGTAGGGAATCTTAGAAAAGAAGGGGGAAGCAGTAAGACCTGGAGGGGACAGGAGCTCCACAAGGAGAGCAACAGATCAAAAAATTCTGGGCACAGGGGTCTTTTCTGAAACTGATACTCCAACCAAGGACCATGCATGGAGATAACCTAAGACCCCTGCACAGAAGTAGCCCATGGCAGTTCAGTGTCCAAGTGGGTTCCATAGTAATGGGAACAGGGACTGTCTCTGACATGAACTGATTGGCCTGCTCTTTGATCACCTCCCCCTGAGGGGGAGCAACGTTACCAGGACACAGAGAAAGACAGTGCAGGTACTCCTGATGAGACCTGATAGACTAGGATCAGAAGGAAAAGAAGACCTCCTCTATCAGTGTACTTGGGGAGGGGCATTGTGGAGAAGGGTGAGGAGGGTGGGACTGAGAGGGGAGGAGGGAGGGGGCCATGGGAGGATACAAAGTGGATAAAGTATAATTAATAAAAATTAAAATAATAAATGGAAAAAATACTTAGAAGAATACAACACTAGAAGGAAAATTTTAATGTGAATGACATGGATTAAAATACTTAGAAGAATACATTTATAAAATATTGCTAGCAGGGGATAAAGAGATGGCTCACTAGTTAAGAGTACTGGTTGCTTTTCCAGAGGACCTAGATTTAATTCTCAGCACCCACATGGTGACTCACAATCATATGTAACACCAGTTTCCAGTGGATCCGATACCTTCTTCTGGCTTCCACAGGCAATTCATGTACATGGTAGCAAAACATGGAGAAAAAAACATCCATTCACTAACACACACACACACACACACACACACACTGATATATAAAGTCATTTTACACAGAGCACATAGCTGTAAAACTAAGGCACACCTGCCACACAGATTATTGGTTCAGTAAAATAGAACGTCACACACAACATAGTGAATTTAGTAGTAAGAGGTATAATATCTACATGTAGTGCTGGAAAACATTACTCTGGCTGTAGGCTGTGAAACAAAGAGGCCGATACGACAGCTGTTGGGAAGCTCAGGCCTGAGCTGCTGGTTATGTAGACTAAACCAGTAGCTAGTAATATGGGGACCACTGTGATGGTGGAGGCTGTAAAAGACTTAGTTTAATGGAAATGAGAGCTAAGAAAACATTTTATATTTCTTTATACATTAAAACTTGTAACATTTAAATAAGAGTATTGTAATTCTGATGTACAATATGAAAATGAGTATGTGTGATTACACTATGAAATTTAAGTACCAGACCTCTCAATGCTCCTGTCACTATGTCTTTTTTTTTCCCCTATTAAAAGCACAACTTTTCAGACTTGGCTCATCAGTGGAAAACATTGTTATTTTTCTACTTATCTGTGTTGGTTTCTGTGGTTGTGGTTTTTTTTTCATTTTTTAAGCTAATATCCTCTACCTGAGAGAATATTGAACCCTCATTGTATGCAAGGGAAATGGATCTGAGCTGATGAGCTTGTTTGTTTATCTGTGAAAAAAGGTAAATAAAGCTACACTTGTTACAAAGCTAGTGATGTGGATAATTTAGTTACAGAAAATAGAATACATAGATTATTACAGAATGCATTAGATTCCGACCTCATTTAATACCACCACAGTCCACAGAGCATGATGACTATCCACCACTGTTCTCAGGAAACTTCTGTCTTGTATGGCTTACAGGAAGAATACTCTGGTGCAGAAAACTAAAATATCTAGATCATATTCTGAACCTTTACACAATTATGAATATTCAAGTATCTTTTGAGAAAATTGTGATTACATGAGTGTGCTGGCCATGAGTGTGATTACTTGAGTGGTCAACTTGGCATACAATTTAGAGTATCTGAAAGGAGAAAATGTCTTCAGAAGATCTGCTCTCAGGCATTTTTAAGTCAATGATTGATGGGGGAGGGCCCAGGCCATTGTGGGTGCTGTCATTCCTGGGCTGGTGATCCTAGGTTCTAAAAGAAAGCTGGCTGAGCAAGCCCTGTGGAGCAAGCCAGTAACCAGCACCTCTCCATGGCTTCTGCATCAACTCTTGTTCCATGTTCCTTCCCTGCTTGGGTTCTATTCCTGACTTCTTTCAAAAATGAACAGTGATATATAAATATAGACCAAATAAATTCTTGTTGAAGGATGTTTTTGTGCACTCTATTTAAATGCTGACTTCTGTACCAGAGATCTGGTTGCAGTCCAGATTTTGAAACTGTAATGATAATGAAGCATTTCATGTCTTCGTATCCTGTGAACATTGTTCTCCATCACCTCTGTTTGGCTAAATAAAAAGCTGGACAGCCAATAGCTGGGCAGGTGAAGAGAAGGCGGGACTTCCGAGCCCAGTGAGAGGGTCCCAGGCGGGGACCAGAGAGGAGAGGAGTCACCATCAGGACATGTATGAAGGAGGACATGCCAGGGATAAATTGGCAGGTAACAGGTCACATGTCTGGGAAGTAAGAGAGGCCAGTTTATCAGTTTAGAATAGCTGTCTGCCCAGCTATAGTGCCTGAAGCTTTTAATAGATATAATAAGTCTCAATGTTATTCATCAGAGCAAGGGCAAACATAGAAAAGCATGCATATTACAAACTCTTTCTATCCCAATTTGCTTTTTGGTCATTGTGTTTCATTGCAGCTAAGACAATAAAACAACTAAGACAACTAAGACAATTAAAACAACTAAGACAGCTAAGACAATAAGGAAAAACAAAGACTTGAAGTTACGATCATGGATTTATCAATGTGGTTTTGTTGTTGTTGTTTTATTTTGGAACTGTACCCTATAATTGAAATTGATAATTTATATAAGCCACTCTAATTCTCCAAGTGAATATCAAAAATCAGATTAAAGCTAGGACATTCCATGTTGAAAAAAAATATATAAATCAATTTTTAAAAAGTGAAAAAAAATTAAAACTACATAGCAGTGAAACAGAAACTACTAAAATTATTAATATATCTTACTAAATTTTAAACTTGTTGACTTTTTCATGTATATGTTAGTTCATGATATGAGAAAACATTGAAAATATAATCTGCATTCATTTTAGTGGTTTTACATTTAAGTACACATATTAACAATGGACTTTTCAAATACAAATACTCAATTAATTTCCCTAATTATAAATTTTAATTCCTGAAATTTACTTTGTAGTCATAAAATGTTTTGAAATGCTATTAATTTAAACATTCCCAGGCTGTATGTGGAGGAAGCATATCACTGTCAAAAGCTAGAAGAATGTAAAAATAGAACATCACAAAAAATGAAATGTTCTTTTTCTTTTGATGTCAAAGGCGGTGATCACCCTGTAGACATAAATAGACATGATATAAAAATAAGTCAATAAGGAAAAGCATAACTCTGGAAGATGTGATGGCATAACTCAGGAAGTGTATTATAATGAGTGTATTCATTAATATGTACAAGCACCCTACATTAGACAAAATAAGATACTAAACTAAAGCTATATGTTACCAAAAGCCAGTTGTGTTATGTTAATAAAGTCCCTTGAGCTTTATATAAAACAATGTGCTTACAAAACAAACAAGCAAACAACAAAAATAATTGAATATCCCTACATAGCATAGGGACATTCATTCCTACTTATATACTGGAGTTTTTCTAATCATTGTGTGATCACATGTCTACTGCAAGCCTACCTGAATGTTATTTTAAAATAATCTATACATCTGAATGTTATTTAAAAGCTATCTGCAGGAATATAAGAAATCTAAGCAGAACTATTAAGTTGACAGAAAAGGAGAAATATATAAATAAATGCACATAGAGTGTGGAAAATACCTTGTAACAGGAATGGCATAAAAACCAAATCAATTCCTCATATGAATACAGTATTTTTCACATGCAAATAGCATATCCACTGCTCTTCATGCTAATGATGTAGAGACCTAAAAACACTCTGTTACAATAGAAAATTTATTATTTCTCTACCTTTAATATCATGCTATAATTTGTCTTTCCCATTAAGGGGAGAAAAGGAGATTGCTCAACAAACTGAAGACTTCAATGCTGAGTTTCATCCTCAGGACCCACATGGAAGAAGGATAAAAATAACTCTTGCAAGTTGTTCTCTGATTGTCACCCATGCTGAGACATGCACACGCATATACAAATAAAATTTAAAATTACAAAGACATTTTTACTAATAAATCCATAGCATTATAAAATGTGTTAGTACAAGATGGGCAATCTTTAATTATTCAGTAAATTCTTTTGTGCAGGATAAATATTCTGACAAGAGACATAGCAGATATTCATTCAATTCTCATTATAAGATTCATCTTGTATGTAATATTTGTGACAGTATGTTGTATAACTTTTCTAATGTCCTTTGAATTGCATGTTTTACATCTTTGTTCCTCAAACTGTATATCATTGGATTTAACATGGGGATAATCAGGGTATAAAAGATGGAAGCCACTTTATCAGTGTCAAAGGAGTGACTGGACTGAGGTTGCACATACATAAATATCAAAGTGCCATAGAAGACAGTGACCACTGTCAGGTGGGACCCACAGGTGGAGAAAGCCTTGCGCTGGCCTTCAGCAGACTTCATCCTGAGAATGGCTGTGAGGATGAGCAGATAAGACACAAGGACCACCAGTAGAGAAGACATCAAATTAAAAGCTGCCAAGACCAGAATAATCATTTCAATTTCACGTGTGTTTGAGCAGATCAAAGATAACAAGGGGAGACTGTCACAGTAGAAATGACTGATGACGTTGTAGCCACAGAAAGACAAGGTGAAAATCTTTATGGTGACTAGAAGAGAAACAAATGTGCAGTACAAATAGGGAATTGCCACCAGCACATGACACACCCTTTGCGACATGATGACAGTGTAGAACAGGGGCTTACAGATGGCCACATAGCGGTCATAGGACATTGCAGACAGAATAAAGAGTTCACTAATTATAAACACAAGAAAAAAAGCTAGCTGTGTAGCACAAAGATTATAGGAGATTATGTTTAGATCTACAATAAAATTTACCAACATCTTGGGTCCCACAGCTGTAGAATAACCAAGATCTGTGATAGCCAGGTGTCTGATAAAGAAGTACATGGGCGTTTGTAGCCTGGAGTCCACTGTGATGAGGATGATCATTCCCAAGTTGCCGACCATTGAGCTCATGTAGATTACCAAGAACAATCCGAACAACGGGGCCTGTAGTTCAGGACGCTCCGTGATGCCCGTCAGGATGAATTCAGTCACCACTGTGAGGTTGTGTTTTTCCATAAGTTTTTAATCTATTCTGGACAGAGAGATACAATCATGACGTCAGTACATTCCAGTAGTCTCACACAGCAAGTTACGAAAGATAAGATTTCCAAGACAGATCTTAACTTTCAGTTTTAGAATATTTGAAAGTAAACAGATCATTATACATCAAAATATCTAGAACTAGAAATAGATAATGTATTGCAAATAATGTGACTTTACTCAAATAAGCAAAGTGTTTGATGCCTACCTATGCTCTGATTATAAAAGATGTGACTGTATTGCTAATGTTCTATAATGAATACACAAGAGGAGTAAATTTGCATTCTCTGCACCTCATTTCCTGACCAACACTTCTGCCTGCATCCTGGAGGCGTAGGAGCGCTAGGGACAGCAGGTAAGAGATCCCCACACCATGCCCCTCGCACTTGCCTGTCAACTCCCCAGAAAGCATGCCAAGCTGCAGTGAACTGTTCCCCATATCCTGTACTCCATTTCCTCTCCACAGCTTTGCCTACTTTTTATGGAGGCCTGTTAGCACCAGGGACAGCAGCCAACTACCCTGAAAGCACATACAACACCAGGAACTGCACTCTATACTCTACACCCACAACTCTGCCTGCTTTCTTAGAGGTCCTAAAAGCACCAGCAACACAATGGAAAAGATTCTGGCCCCAGCTTTTGCCCTCAAACTTCTCTGAAAGCACATCTAACAGTGGTAAACTGCACCCTATAGCATGTGCTCCATTTTTTGCCCCACACCTTTGCCTGCCTTCCCAGAGGTCTGCTGGCCCAATCAACACCAGGTAAGACCCCCTGAAGCTTGTGCCAGCTAATCCCCTGAAAGCACAACCAAAAGCTTTAAACTGTACCTCATACCCTGCACTTGATTTTCCACCCCACAATACTGCATACTTTCTGGGAGGCCTGTTAGCACCAGGAACAACATATAAGATCCTGCACCAAGGCCTTGACAGCCAACTTCCTTGAGAATACACCAAGCAGCAGTAACTACACTCCATACCTTATTTCCCATCTCCAGCCCCACTACTGCACCTGCATTCCTGGAGGCCTGCTGGCACTAGGAACCCTAGATAAGCATCCTCCCATAAAGCACTAGCCATCCAATTACCCCAGAAGGCACATCCAAAGGAGGTAAACTGCACTCCATACCCTGTGCTCCAATTCCTGCTCCACAACCCTGCCTGCTTTCCACGAGGCCACTCTAACACAAGGGACCCAGGGCATAGTGGTAATAGAGACAAGAGAGGTAACTTTATCACACACACACACACACACACAGAGAGAGAGAGAGAGAGAGAGAGAGAGAGAGAGAGAGAGAGAGAGAAAACAGAAACAAAACAACAAAATTAGGATCCCCAGGCCACAAAACTCCAGGAGAGACACCCTTTTGGAATTGAAGACTTACTGATCACTGGAACATTATCAGGACATAAGACCAAGAGGAAACAGAAACAAAGTGGGGAAACATTAAAACACACTCAGCCAACAAAGATAAACTAAGAAGTCAGTACCCAAATCTATAATGACCACAAAACCCAGGTGGCAAGTATAAAAATTCAATCAACAACAGGCACAGTAACATGACAGCGCCAGAGCCCAGATATTCTACTACAGCAAGCTCTGGATATCCTAACATAGGGGAAGCACAAGAAGATGACCTGAAATCCAATCTTATGAGGATGCCAGAGGCCTTTACATATTAAATGAATAAATCCTTTAAAGAAATATAGGAAAACATAATCAAACAGGTGAAGAAAATTATGGATACTGTTCAAGACCTGAAAATCAAAATAGTAGCAATAAAGAAAACACAAACTGAGGAAATCCTGGAGATGGAAAACCTAGGGAAGAAAACAGAAATTACCGATGCAAGCATTGTCAACAGAATACAAGAGATGGAAGAGACAATCTCAGGCATAGAAAACATGATAGAAGAAATCAGTATATGGACCAAAGAAATGTTAAATCTAAAAAGTTTCTGACACAAAACATTCAGGAAATCTGGGATGCAATGGAAAGGCAAAACCTAAGAATAATAGGAATAGGAAAAGATTTCCTACTCAAAAGCACAGAAAATATTTTCAATAAAATGGTAGAAGAAAATTCCTCCAACTTAAAAGAAAGGATGCCTATAAACACACAGAAGCTAACAAAACACAAAATAGATTGGACCAAAAAAATCTCTAGCCACATAATAATCAAAACACTAAATATAGAATAAAGAAAGAATATTAATAGCTGAAAGGGAAAAAGGCTGAGTACCATATAAAGGCAAACCTATCAAAATTACACCTGACTTTTCAACAGAGACTCTAACAGGCAGAAAGGCCTGGGCAGATGTTTTGTAGTTTCTAAGAGACCACTGATACCAGCCTAGAGTACTGTGCCTAGCAAAAGTTTCAATCACCATAAAAGGTGATCTTCTGTGACAAAACCAAATTTAAACAATATCTGTCCATTAGTCCATTCCAACAGAAGATGTTAGAAAGAAAACTCCATCTCCTGTAAACAGGCAAGACTTCCAATGGAGAGATGGGGACACCAACTCAGCCAAAAACCCTTCAATCCATAATTTGCTTGCCTACCGATGTGTAGGTGTAAAGACAGAAGAGAAAGGGGGGAATTGCCAACCACTGACTGGCTACACTTGAGACCCATACCGTGAGAGAGAGCCCATCCCTGACACTACTAATGATATTCAGCTATACTTGTAACAGGAGCCTAGAATACTTGTCATCTGAGAGGCTTTTCACAGAAGCTGATGGAAACAGATACAGAGACCAACAGACAAACACAAGACAGAGCTTGGGGAATTCTGTCAAAGAAGGGAAAGGAAGGATTGAGGGAGGCCAGAGAGGTCAAGATACCATGAGAACCTTATGAATCAACTAGCTCGGGCCCACAGCAACTGAACCAACAATTAGAGAGCATACATGGGAAGTACCTAAGTCCTCCGTATATATGTAACAGATGTGCAGCTTGGTTTTTATGTGAGACCCGTAACAGTGGGAGCAGGAGTTGTCTCTGACTCTGTTGCCTGACTTTGGATCTCTTTCCCCTAACTGGGTGGCCTTGTCTAGCCTTGATAGGAGAAGACATGCCTAGTCTTATTGCAATATGGTATGGCAAGATGGATTGATATCTATTTGAGACCTCTCCTTTCTTGAGCAGAAAGAGATGAGAGTATGGAGGTGGGGAGGAGTAAAGGAAGGACTGCGCAGAAAGGAGTTAATTATTTATAATTAATTATTAATTGATGACTAAGAAGAAGAATAAATTTTCCCAAGAACCCGAATACTAGAATTTATTAGTACTCGAACACTAATTCTGAAAATTCCAACCAGCCACTTCTGAAAAGGCTGAAAGCCACCTTACAATGAGAAGTACATGATAACACAAAAAGGAAATCAATGCTTCTCTCTTTTATCCATTTGTCAGAAAAAAAGATGTTTGCATTGTTACACACGTGCAACTGAAGTTCAAGCAGAGTTAAAAGTTCACCTTCTAAATGTGCTTCAAGGAACTCAGAGTCTTCTCTGCACTGGAGCAGCCCTAGTGTGGATCATGGGATCCACATATGCAAAGGAAGGTAACTACTGCTTTCCAATTTAGCATAATAAACATTTTACTACAGCAACTCAAATAAACTACAGTCCACTAAAGTTCAATGTGTGTGTGTTTATATGTGTGCATGCATGTGTGTGTACACATGTGTATGAACATGTGTATGTGGATACATTTCATGTGTGTGGGTGGATGCACTCTGGGAATAGAAAGGTCAATCCTTCTATTTATTTCCATCTTATATTTTGAGACAGTATCTCTCCCTGAACCTGGGCTCACTGATTGAACAGACTGGATGGCCTTTGACCTCATGGATCACCTATCTCTGTCTCCTCATTGGTGGAATTACAGGTGACACTCCACTGAGCTTTAACTTGTATCCTTGAGATTGAGCTCATCCTCAGGCTTGCACGGCAAACACTTTAACAGCTGAGTCACCTCTACAGCCCTTTAAAATTCATGATTGAAAGAATAGACTTTGGTGCTCGCTTCGGCAGCACATATACTAAAATTGGAACGATACAGAGAAGATTAGCATGGCCCCTGCGCAAGGATGACACACAAATTCATGAAGCGTTCCATATTTTTAAGTACACAATAAGGACATTTGCTCAACCATGTTTGTAGCAGCCTTATTTGTAATAGCCAGAAGCTGGAAACAGCCCAGATGCCCCTCAGTGGAGGAATGGATGCACAAATTGTGGTATATCTACCCAATGGAATATTATTCAGCAATAAAAAAAAAAACAAGGAAATCATGAAATTTGCTGGTAAATGGTGGGATCTGGAAAAGATCATCCTGAGTGAGCTATCCCAGAAACAGAGGGATGCACACAGTATATACTCACTCATATAGACATATAATATAGGATAAACCTACTAAAATCTGTACACCTAAAGAAACTAATCAAGAGGGAGGACTCTTGCTAAAATGCTCAATTCCTATCCAGAAAGGCAAAGAGGCTATACATCAGAAGAAAGAGAAAAGAGGGAACAAGTCAGGAGCCTGACACAGAGGACCTCTGAAAAGCTCTGCCCTGCAGACTATCAATGCAGATGCTGAGACTTATGGGCAACCTTTGGGCAGAGTGCAGGGAATCTTAGGAAAGAAGTGGGAAACAGTAAGATCTGGAGATGACAGGAACTCCATAAGGAGAGCAACAGAACCAAAAAATCTGAGCACAGGGGTCTTTAGACTGCTATTCCAACCAAGGACTATGCGTGGAGATTAACCTAAGACCCCTGCACAGATGTAGCTCATGGCAGTTCAGTATCCAAGTGGGTTCCATTGTGATAGGAATAGGGACTGTCTCTGACATGAACTGATTGGCCTGCTCTTTAATTACCTCCCCCTGAGGAGAAAGCAGCATTACCAGGCCACAGAAGAAGACAATGCAGCCACTCCTAATGAGACCTAATTGAATAGGATC